TTTCAAAAAAAAAACAAAAAAGAGCGTAATTTTACGTTACACCTGATCTTGCTATCTAATTGGCTAGATTCCGAAAAATCACGTGACCAGTCACTTTTTTTTCGCCATGGCTAGGGTTTTACAACGGACCTTCCAATCTTACAACGTGAGCGATTTTTCCAACAATAACTTCATCATATTTACCGGGTGACATATCTTTCCAACATTCCTTACCATCAATGACTTGTCGATATACCACACGATCGAATCCATCGATTCCAATAGATCTTTTTGCAGACACCTTCACCACAAGATCCTTAAAAGTACATCTTCTCTTCTTTTTATTGTTCTTCGCAACTGATATTTCCACGAACTTTTCATATACCTTACATCATTCACTCCCGAGTTTGCCATACGTTTTTTTTTCATTTTTGACTTTACTAAGTTCACAGGCGTTGTCGTAACGGACAAGACATGTTCTTTTCTACACGCGTAAAACAAACACTAATATTTCTTTCGTTCTCTTTCAAATTCTTTACTATCGCAGCGATAATTTTAACCACTAGAGAAACCAAACGGTTTACATCTCCTATTGTCTTTTGTATCAACACCAGGTACCGTTTTTTTTTTTGTTTTGCCTCCTACTGTTCTTATTCGTTTATTTCACCCTATACTAACAATGTTATTTTAATGAAGCACTTGATTATTGACTTTCAACTTAACAATTGCTACCGGAAACTTATACTTCGTTTTTACATAGCTCAAATTCAATGTATTCAATAAAATTTAGCAAGTAAGACCGCGTCTTACCCAGTACAATACTGATTTTGTTTTTTCAATACTTGAAGTCCTTGATCACACAAATTTTAACCAATTTGGATCACCTAACCAATGTGTAACTACGTAAGCTAGTCTATTACCGGTTCCTTTCTTCACAATTTTCATGAATTATGACAAGGCTTTCATCTTACCCAGTCCTTTCACCAGTATCTTTTCTACAATTATTCTTTAAAATCTTTGATACGTATGTAGTTGATCCAAAAATTTTTTTCATTACCCAAATTCTTACAACTTTATACTATTCATGGACGTGTTGGAAGAAATGAAAATTCAAAAATAGCAAATATTTATAAATTT